CAGAAACAGTGACTGAAAATCTCCAGAAACAGCGGTGTTGTTGCTCCTGATAAGCACACAACAGACCCCAGGAACAGATGATTGTTCAAATGAGAAAATCAAAGTAACCTCTTTATCACCTTACTTATCCTTACTTACTTACTTACACACACACACACTCACAGAGCACCCCTGAGCATGCTCCCTATGAAACTTAAACCCACCTGTCTCAAACTGCATCAGCCAGAGAACTGTCTGTGTGTCTGTGTCTGTCTGTCTGTCTGTCTGTCTGTCTGTCTGTCTGTGTGTGTGTGTGTGTGTGTGTGTGTGTGTGTGTGTGTGTGTGTGTGTGTGTGTGTGTGTGTGTGTGTGTGTTTTATTTATTCAGTCATGTAATGTTGTGAAGGAGGCAATACTGGTTGGATCAAGTTCAAGTCCAAGAAATCTCTCAATTTTTTCAGTAATGTCACAGCTCTTTAGCTGTGTGCTGTAACAGAGACAAATAGAGCTGACTCATTACTGCAGGTCAGGACAGGCTGTGAGAAAGAGGTTAAACATCATTAAACTGCTCTGTGAGATCACCACATTTATTGGTTGTCACTCATCATTTATGGCTGTAAATGTCAGGATGTTATACCAATTTCAAATCTTATCTTATACTCTGCAAGCCTTCAAAGGGCCCAGCAGGTTGTTGAACACTGTGGCTTCCGTGAGAAAGTTGATCTATGTTGATGATGTATCATGCCTGCATGGCCTTAGACCATTTCTCACTCTCCTGACTTTCTTGACAGAAATGCTGGAAGAAGAAGCTGACAGCCTGAATGGGTGGAGGGTATCTTTTCTGTGAAAACATCATAAATCAAAGAAGAAGTTGGCTCTTATCGCCCTATCTCTCTATTAAACCAGGACGGAAAGCTGGAAAAAAAAATAAGTCCCCACTTCAAAGATGTGGCTTAGTGACCTCCCAAACACAGTGCACTTAGGAAGAATAAGATATTCTCAAACTTCCTCATTTTGACATGATTTGGACACCTCTCACTCTTTATCTTGAACACGTGACCCAACAGTAGAATTTTCCCTCTGACATCAGCTGAGCAGAGAGCCGATGGTAGGATAGGGTGGTTGGGGTAGGGTGGGATCGACCTCGTGTGTCGCATTTTATTAAATTGTTTTCTGTATTTTGTTTTTATTCTAATTGATTTTTTTTCTAATTTAATTTTTCATTAATTAATTTTATTTAATGTCACAACCTCATTTATACAAGTTCATTACAACTAAAGAAGAAAAAAAGAGCACTTTATGTTGTGACCATCTACTGTATGTCAATATGGTTGTAAACAGATCTGTACAGTTGTAATTGCATAAATGCCATTTGCTCAAATAAAACATTCATGAGAAAACATTATAAATCAAGTGAATAATTTCCCCCTCCATGTTAAAGAGACAAAGTTCTATCTGCAAACATACTGATAACAGGCACCAAAATATACGCAGATATCTGAGAGGTTATGGTTTTACATAGAAAAATTACGCAGTTTAAGTAATTAATAAGGGGTCAAAAATAGTGTAAAATGAGCCTGTAATTTTCACTAACACAGTAGTTATTCTGCCACTCCTACAAAAGTCTACAAACACGCACACACAAATGCCATTTGACAGATACTTTTATCTATAATGCTTATTCATAACTCTTTCAGAAAATAGGTCACTACAACATAATAATCCTCACTATTAATTTATTATTAAGTTAAGATCAGCTAATTGGGAATCAGCTGTGCAGCAGGATTACTGCAAACATTAACTAACAACCATCTTCTCTCCAAGAAATGGCGGATTATTGCAAACATTAACTAACAACCATCTTCTCTCCAAGAAATAGAGGTTTCACTAATTTCCTGCATGGTCTCCTATCTAGGCTACAAGCTAATTGTTGCTGTGGACTTATGGTGAATACTCTTCTAATAGCATTTTTATTAGCACAATCAATATGTGTCTGTGCTGCTCAGTTATCACCTTATCACACACATTTTATGACTACCAACTTGTGCCTCTGACTCTTTGTTTCAGTCCAATAACATGTAACTAACCTAAAATATGACAGATCAACAAAATCAACAGGTTGGTGTAGTCAGTAATAATTTATTGATCCCACATGTACAATAGCAAGCATAGCACGGAAAGTAAAGATTTGTTTAAAAGCTGAGAAGGGAAAGTGTTAAATGTTGTGTGCATGTGAGTGATAGGATTAGATAGAAATACTGATGTGCAGCTATGAATGACTGATAGCGGCCATCTTGCCTTAAAGAGCTGAGACAAGAGAGCTTCAACCAAATTTTATTTCTCTGGGTTTTAGAGTTATAATTCAACCCAGACAAGAATTATATTTTGGGGACACATATCTACACACACACACAGACGTATATACACGTCAACAAATCTGATGTTCATTGGTCTTACTGTATAGTGAATGGGACAGAACAATAGATAGGAGCAGTGAAGTAGGGTGTAAATAGCACCTCCTGAAACGGTTGCCAGATGTGTCAATCCACTTTTCCTTTTCCTTTCTTTTCTGTCTCACTAACTGAATGCAAAGACAGGACAATAAGGAAACAAGCAAGGGAGGCAAATACTGGAAAATCAGGAGGACAGCTGGAAACTCATACAGAAACTATATTAAAAAAAGGAACGTAAAAACAAAGGCAGGAAAAAAAAGAGTGATGGTAGAAGAAAGGAAATGAGAAGAAAAAGAACAGTCTGGGTGTAGATGGCATCATAAATTCAATATATACCATGTTTAATGAACTAATAATCACACACTGCATTTGTATATAATTGCATACAAAATTAGAAAGGATTCCCAGTTTGAATGCAGCAGAACCAACTGGTTTACCGATGAAAACAAGGAGGAAAGAAGAGTTGGTTGAATTACAGTATATGTAATATACAGAACATAGTTTATGTATTTACAGAGATAAAACAGGAGATGGAGAAAAATCTGGGACCAAATACACCATCCAACGTGCATTTACAAAGTTAGCAGTTATCCATCATCTCTACCTTTATCCTGGAGTACACTCTATAACTATTTCATAAGACCAAAGTATATCACCACAGTCCACAGGATTCATACCCTGGATAACACATAGAAATAAATTTTGTGATACACCACAGAACATCTGGGTGGAAATGTGATGTAGCCCACCAAATTTGTAATTAAACGAAGGTTTTCAAGAAGATGATCTTTAGCTTGTAATCAGCCATTAATCAGTCCCTTCTTTATACATGAGGTCCAAAACAGGGAAGTGATGATCAGCAGAAGGGAGGGAAAGGCCACAAGTGAAGAATACAAGACGAATAGTACATCACATTTCCAGGGTTGTATCTACAGTGATGTACCACTTATAACAGCATATACTGTATATCCATACAGTGTGTGGGTTATTGTTGCATATATGACCTAAGGGTTGTGGGTGGTAGTGGAGCATGAGGGGATTTACAGTGGATAGAAAAAGTCTACACACCCCTATTAAAATGGCAGGTTCTTATGATGTTAAATAATGAGACAAAGATAAATCATGTCAGAACTTTTTCCACATTTAATGTGACCTATAATGTGAACAATTCAATAGAAAAACAAACTGAAATCTTTGAGGGGGAAAAATAAAAAATAAAATCCTTACAATAACCTGGTTGCATCCCTTATAACTGGGGATGTGGCTGTGTTCAGAATTAACCAATCACATTCAAACTCAGCTTAACTAGAAGTCATTGCACCTGCCATCATTTAAAGTGACTCTGATTAATCACAAATAAAGTTCAGCTGTTCTAGTAGGATTTTCCTGATATTTTCTTAGTTGCATCTCCAAACAAAAGCTATGGTCCGCAGAGAGCTTTCAAAGCATCAGAGAGATCTCATTGTTGAAAGACAGTCATCATTAAGTGGAGAAAATATGGCATAACTGTGACTTTACCAAGAACTGGACGTCCCTTCAAAATTGATGTAAAGAAAACTGGTCAGGGAGGCTTCCAAGAGGCCTACAGCAACATTAAAGGAACTGCAGGAATTTCAGGCAAGTACTGGCTGTGTCGTACATGTGACAACTATCTCCTGTATTCTTCATATGAATGGGCTATGGGGTAGGGTGGCAAGACGGAAGCCTTTTCTTACAAAGAAAAACATACAAGCACAGCTGAAGTTTGCAAAAACAAACATCAAGTCCCCCAAAAGCATGTGGGAAAATGTGTTATGGTCTGATGAAACCAAAGAACTTTTTGGCCATAATTCCAAAAGGTATGTTTGGCGCAAAAACAACACTGCACATCACCCAAGGAACAGCATACCCACAGTGGAGCATGGTGGTGGCAGCATCATGCTTTGGGAATGTTTTTCTTCAGCTGGAACCGGGGCCTTAGTCAGGGTGGAGGGAATTATGAACAGTTCCAAATACCAGGCAATTTTGGCACAAAACCTTCAGGCGTTGGTTAGAAAACTGAAGAGGAAGTTCACCTTTCAGCACGACAACGACCCAAAGCACACATCCAAATCCACAAAAGCATGGCTTCACCAGAAGATTGGTTTGGAATGGCCCAGCCAGAGCCCAGACCTGAATCCAACATCTGTGGGGTGATCTGAAGAGGGCTGTGCATGGGCGATTTCCACGCAATCTGACAGATTTGGAGCGCTTTTGCAAAGAAGAGTGGGCAAATATTGCCACGTCAAGATGTGCCATGCTAATAGACTCCTACCCAAAAAGACTGACTGCTGTAATAAAATCAAAAGGTGCTTCAACAAAGTATTAGTCTAAGGGTTTGCACACTTACGCAACCAGGTTATTTGAGGGTTTTTATTTTTTATTTCAATTGAATAGGTCACATTAAAGGTGGAAAAAGTTCTGACATGATTTATCTTTGTCTCATTATTTTACATCATAAGAACCTGGCATTTTAACAGGGGTGTGTAGACTTTTTCTATCCACTGTATCTATAGATACTGAAGCCAGAGACCAACGCACAGCGAGAGAATCTGTCATGGTTATTTTAATTCTGAAGTCAGGAAAGACACAGAAACTGTAGGTGGACAGATGTGTGTCAGAGTGTGACCGTATGCTTTATATTCACATGGGCAAATACACTGAAGGGCTTTCAGGATAGGAAGGAATGTCCAGTAAAGTTGATGTAAATGTTTCCAGCTTGTGCATGGTTGCTGAAATGACTTTTTATTTAATATTATTGTTAAATAAATGAGTAATTGGGGTCTGGTTTCCAGCTGTAAATCCTTCATATCACAAGATCCAAATCCAGTGGTACTAAAATTAGGACAGACAGGCTTAAGCTCTGTATGTGAATACATAATACAGTACAAAATAAAGGGACATGAGGCCTCTTAGCAGAGAGATTGCAGTTAGGATGGCAAAGAGGAGAAAGAAAAGAATGAGAGATGGGAGAAGGTCAGAGACATTGAGGCCTAAGGGGTAAAAACATGGCAACAAGAGAAACACTCCAATGGCTACAAGAAAGCGATCTATCACATACAGTACGTCTGTTTACAGATACAGTGAAATGTACAAGGTAGGAAAAAATAAGTCCCTTATTCTGCATCTCTTCTGCATTAATACTGTTAATTTCAGCAGTGGTTAAAATGACACGGTCACTGTAAATAAATCAGCATTCCCTTTTCTACAGTAAATAAAATAAAGTACATATTCCATATAATATAATATTCAGGGACAAGCAACATTTGTAGGGATCAAACACACATTTCATGCCGTGAGAAGTGTTTGAAGTGAGCGTATGTTGTTATATTATTCTTATTAATATTCAACGAAAAAAAAAACTTACAAAATTAAGTGAAACAAAGTTAAAGCAAGCTATGGCACATTTTAAACAGACAGTACTCAAATGAAGTGGCAACACTACACATTTCAGAGATACTGAAGGATCTATTTAGCATTTAGACAATTATTTTCCCCTACCAAAATTAATAAATAACATTTGGCATACAACTCTATATATATATATATATATATAATTTTCATGCCATTTCATGCATTTCCTAAAGTTATGGCACAATGCTTTAAATGTATGCATTTATTTTAATGTATGTTTTTTTCAACAAAATCTGTCACATCTAATAAATGTCGTTTGATAGTGAACATTTGTGATTTGTCAAGTAGGATAACTGTGACTTATTGGAGGGCTCTGACTAATGGATCTCTTTTTTAACAGACATTAAATATTTGTGTGGCATTGATAAAGTGGATTAGATACATGAAATGGGACGTTCAACAGTAACAAAGTAAAAAATGCCAAAAAAGCCAATGACTAAGACACTTATAGGAGGGTACTGTGATAATAATGACAGTTTAGTTGGGGTGTCTTGACTACTGGTGGGCTTTTGGCACTAAAATCCTAGTAAAAGTCCCAAAGTTCAGTTCTGTGGGCTGTTAGGTCAAAGGGCATAAATTACAACAGAAAAAAAAGCATCCCATCTTACTAACTGAAGCAAATTTAGCTATAAAAATTCTGATGCCTGAAACAGTTATGAGAGAGGAATCTTCTCCATCCACATTTTGAAACTAATCCAAAGGAATAGTTTTACATTTTGGGAAATACGGGAATTTGGGAAAAATGAGACTGACATATAGCAGCGCAAACATAAGCAGCTGAGCCTAAAGGCTAGAAGCAGGAGAAACAGTTAGACTGGTTCTGTCCAAAAGGTAACAACATTCGCCTATTAGCAAAAAAACTATTTCTCAACTGGGACCATTAATTTCCTGGAGTCTCCAGGTTTTTGTAGAAATAGGATATAATGTGTTAAGTAGTGCGCTTTAGAGGTGCCTCTAGGCGGATTTTGGTGCCTTTGGACAGAGCCAGGCTGTTTCCCCGTTTGCAGTCTCTATACTAAGCAAAGCTAAACGACTGCTTGGGGTACCTTCATATTTATTTACCATACATACATCATAGTCGTATCAGACTTCTCTTCAAACTCTCAGTAAGAAAATATACGTGTACTTCCCCTCGATTTCTTTAACAACATACCAACAACTCAGATTTTCTAGGAAAATCAATCCAACCAGTTTAGCTTGATCTTGAGTTTACTGAGTTCACATTACATGATTTACAAGTAATGACATCCTATTTTAACAGTTACAGTATGTCCAGCTACAGAAATCTGACTGAAAAGTAGAAGCTGTAGAAGCTATATAGTGGGTAGGTAAAACAATGTATCATAATTGACTATGGCAGCCACGGACTGTATTGTAACATTGCCCAGAAGAGGGAAAGGTAAGGGAAAGAAGGAAGTGAAGGGAGGAGGGAAGTCTGTCTTAGCTGAATACATTTTCATTGCTAAATGAAGTGTGTGTGTGTGATGAAGTTACAATTACAAAACATAAGTGAGTGTTTGTGTGAGATGAAATGAGTGGGGAGGTAGGGCTAAGCGTGATCACAGGATGACTTTCGTCAAAGCTATAGCTGTCTGATGGGGGGTAGGTTAAGGGTGTCCAGAGCACTGTGGTAGAGCTCTCTTAACGCTCTTAACAGATACAGACGACAAAACATCTGGTTGAAGAGATGAGGCAACGGCTCCTGGAAAAACAGAAGACAGACAAGAGAAAGAGGAAGTGTGTGGCGGTAACAGAAAGAGAAAAAGTAAAACAAGTGATGTTGGCAAAAAAAATGTTGATGGCAAAAAAAAAAAAAAAAAAGATGTAGAGAGAGAGATAAATACATAAAAGTTTATATATTGCTATCCTCATACTGAACTGTTTTTTTGCATCAGTAATCAAATTCTGTTAGTGACAAAAAGTCACCAGACAGGGCAATAGGCTATTAACACATTGATCTCCATATGGTGTACAACCGGAAGGGAACACACACACACACACACACACACACACACACACAAACTCATAAAAGACAACACATAAACTTATCATTTTCAGACATTCATGCACAAAAACAAAACTCACTGTAGGAGTTAACATCTCATGAGCTGATAATTCCTTTTCATTGAAATAAATGAATATATACACTAAAAAAAATCCTCACCCCCAGGACATGGACTCTGTTGTAGTACGAGCTGAAGTCTTTACTTAGAGACACAAGGAATTTACAGATCTGAGGAAGACAAACACGTTAGATAAACATCTTAACAGCACACTTGGGTTTAATATACATCTTTGGAAATCAGTAAATCTCAATCTCCTTACCTGTTCAGTCTTAATATTCACTCTGGCTCCTCCCCCTTCGCAGTCTAACGCTTGGCCCGATTGGTCCAGCAGCTCGGAGAACGGAATGAGATAATTGAACAGTAGAAGCCACTCGCCCTGCCAGTCAAACAACGGGGACGGCATGAGAGGATTAACACTGAACTGTTGCTGTGAGGACATCGTTTTTAATGGAAAGGAAGGAAAATCAAAACACATCCAAAGAAATGAAAGGAGTGACAGAACAGAGTAGAACCACATGGGAGAGAATGAAGTGGTACCTCTTCTTTCAGAGCAGAGAAGTCTAGTTTGGAGCCTTCAGGGATTTCTGGGTATAAACCTGCAGATAAACAGCCAGAAAAACGCATACATGTGTATAAATGCAAGTCCTATTTGGCCAAATGAGCATTAACATAAGCTGCTCTATCTCACTTAAGAGGGAACAATAACACATGCCCTTGGATACAATTCTAAAACAACCGGTTTTACTCTTGATCAAAATAAAACCGTGCATATGTTTGCCCTGATTAAACAATGCAACAGTGAACTATAGCAGAAAAAGGCCCACTGCTGAACCAAACTGCTGACCACTGCTGTACACTATTCTTTTTTAATTCATACTCATTTTCTCATTTCTTATGCATTAACTCTGTGAGTCTTGAACACACATGCAAGCTTTTCATATTAAATTTTCAGTATATATATTTCACAGTTCTGAAGCACTCCCTTATTAAACAGCCACTCAAAAGTTTAGTCTGCAGGGAGCATTCAATTATCTGTATTGATTTTTAAAAAGTGCTCAACAAGACACTTAAATCATGCTTTAACTTATCAGAGCATATCACCACACTCCTGCTGAACTTTGACAAATCTCTTGCAAAGCACAACTCTCACCTTTTTCTACTCCTCTCTCGTAGCTGTCGAACAGAGTGTGCAGTCTGGCACAGTTATACATCACAAACACTCCTCCTCTTGGCCCTTTGGTGGACACCCCCCCTTCCCTCTGGACATCCAGTGTCACCTAAACAGACAGCTGTCAATCATTCTGACTCAACGAATTACACCAAAGGTTACACTGCCACCAGTGTTCGTGGGAACAGAATGGCGTTCATAATGGACAAGCTTGTCACGGCAAACACAGTCGTTCTTCACAAAGCAATATCGGTGTTTGGGACAAATACGCACGTCAATTGTTGAATCTATAAATAATATCACAAAGCGTACGGCCTAGACCTGCTCTATATAAAAAGTGCAATGAGATAACTTCTGTTATGAATCGGCACTATATAAAAACACTGAATTAAACTGAATCACCACCTGCATGACACATTTAGGTGCAAACACACTGTAATGACTCACAGGACTGGTGTGGACCGTTGACAGCAGCTCAAATCTCACAGTAGCAGAGGTCATGACCCTGATGATGTCATCCCACGTCTGACCTACAAGAGTAAGAGGAGGACAAGGTGGAGTTTCACTCCAGTTAATTGTACTTAGTATCGGTCAAATCAGTTTTGTAAGTAAGTGGCATAAGTATGCCCACACACAGCTTCATGTGTACACACACCTTCTACTTGATCTCCATACTTCATCTCTGAAGCCTCCTTCATCTGACCTCTTCTCAGCCTAGGGGAGAGGAGAAACAAACAAACAATAGAAGCCTCAAGTAGACAGATGACGAAAAGCGGCATCAACGCCCATTAGTGTACTTTTAATTTTGTATAATTAGAACTGCAGTTTTACAGTGCAGAGAAGATCCTAGTAAGAGTGTCTTTTGTGATAATAAACATCATTATGGTGGAGAGCTGGGCTTGGCAAGTGGATGTGGAGAAGAAAGGGGGAAGGAGAAATAGGCTTGGAAGACAAATGATGACATCTGAGGAAGAGGAAAGATAGAAAACCTAAAGACAGAGACAGAAACTGTGAGAAACGTCGAGAGGACAAGAGACAAGGAGAGAAGAGACACAACCGTAGACAAAGAAAGGGATGCGTCATACTGTAGGTACTGTGCAGCACTGAGGTGAGAACCAGGAGTCTTCACAGGCCCACACACCAGATGTCTCTGCAGACAATGAGAGCATAACGGGTAAAAAAAATAGGAACACATTGCAATAAATGGTGTGTGTGTGTGTGTGTGTGTGTGTGTGTGTGTGTGTGTGTGTGTGTGCGCGCGCGTGTGCGCGTGTGTGCGCGGTTACCTGTGTATGTGTCGCTCCACTGGCCCTCCACAGCACTGCTACCTGCTGCTGGCGGAACTCATCCTGACAGGAAGTCACATGTAACACTGTTACCATGGCTACCTATAAAAGTGGAAGCAAGGATATACAAATCAACGCTTTGTTATTTTTAATGAGAAAAAGGAAAAACATGCGTTTGTAAAATAGCGTATGTGTGCCTCACTGTGCACTCAGCTGTGGCGAGGTCCAGTTGTGCCAGGTGGGAAACACTGTCTCTGTGTACTGAAACAGATACACCAACAAAGCAGTAAAAAGCTGGTTAATTGCTATGTTCCATCTCGTTAATTTAATCCACACTAGGGCTGACCCCGAATAGTCGTAGTAATAGTAATTTTAAACAGAACTACCAGTTTTCTCCCAATAGGTTCATATACTGCCTATTACAATATACATTTCAACATATAATGCTGTAAATGAAAATGTGAAAAGAAAGAAGCTTTTAATAATTTTCTGTGTGTGAATAAATCCAAAATTGTAACCCTACCCCTTAAGGACGAGGGGTCAGTGTGCATGTGTGGGCGTTATTGCCGAGCTGTCCACACCTTGCAAGACATTCTGATCATTTATCACCAATGATGACACACAAAGTTGTTTTTAACCAGTACTTAGAAACAGACCGTGAGGAAGCGCGACATGCGTGCAGTTGTCGGCCACACGGCACGCAAAACTCAGCACAAGACCAGCGAATAGCAGGCGAGCGGAGAGAAAAGGGTACAAACAATAAGCGTCAGTTTAGCTGGAAATGTAAGTACAGTGTAATACAGTGTAAGTTACAGTGACTAATAAATAGAGACTGCAGTTCTGCAACATTAAACGGGAGCTACCGTGTGTAAGCCCCCCCATCCCACCCCACCCACCCCTCACAATCTCTGGCACACAAACACTCATATGATTCGACTATCAGTCGACTACAGGCAACACTTGACAATTCTGATTCAACTTTGTAAATAGTCGGGGACAGCCCCACTCCCTTGTGGCCTCACCTGTGCTAGTACCAAGGCTGGGGTCATATCCCAGCAGCCCCTCCTCTTGGAACACTCGTTTCAGGTTGACCTTGAGTGCTCCCTCATTCTCCCCCTCCTCGACTTTCCTCCCTCCTCCTCCACTGGTCCTCTTGCCTCTCTCAGTTTCCCTCTCTCTGTACGGGGAGTTCTCCAGCGCTTCCTGAATCTTCACCTCCCGCTCTTCGTTGTTCCAGTTGGCTGGGGCAGTCGGCCAATCAATGCCCAGAGCTCGGAGAAAGGTGATGATGTCGCTGTCTTCGGGAAGCGTGGGGCAATACGACACTACAAATCTGAGACAATTAAGGAGATTGATACTGATCACAGAAACAGTTTTAATCAATAATTATCTATATTTTCATAGACAATTCATCTGTTAGTTGTTTTTTCAACTAACCGATTAATCATTCAGTAAATTTAGTCTTTAATGTCAGACAATATTGAAAAATGCCCAAAGTTTCCCAGAGTCCAAGGTTATATCTTTAAATTGCTTATAAGATATTTGATTTACAATGCTGTAAAGTAGAAACCAGCCAAATGCTTCAAAATGTTTCATATACACAGATATAATATGTCCTTTCATTCACAAGCCCATTCAGTCATGCTGTAATTAAACTAGAGACTCACCCCTGTCTTCTCAACAGCACCCCCATGTGGTCAGCCAACAAAACAGTCCTCAGATGGCCCAGAGTCAGTGTATCAGGAGTTTGTGTGTTGGGTTTAGGGTGAAGTGCGGGGCAGTTGATCACCATGCAGCCTTGCTTCTGACTTGATGGCTTCAGGTATTCTGTGGCTCCACCTGCCAGGACAGCCTTGAAGGCTGTGGCCCGATCGACCCTCACCCTCAACCCCTCACCCATTACCTCCCCGCCCGCCACAGGCAGAACCCCAGTGCCACGGAGAGACAGGACCCTGGACATCACTGCTGGAGGGACCTGGGCAGGTAAAGGGAATGATTAGAGACTCATATACATGCGTGCATAAACAAGAATATGCCAGTCTGATAGGAGGGAAAGACATGAAGGTAAAAAGACAGAATTTCATGTGATCACATATGCATGGATCAAGTACTACAGGTGGTCTGATCAAGTATACTTCCAAGAAATGGATGTCAATTTATATTGTAAGATATCTCCTTTGTAAAGAAACTTTAGTATTATGAATTTTCTCATTTTCTCCAAGTATGTCATTTAATACGGCCCAGCGATGGACTGGCGACCTGGCTCCAGCCCCCCGTGACCCAGTACGCAGGATTGCTGCGTACGATTGCTGGAAGCGGTTGATGATGGATGGATGTCATTTAATACTTTCAAATTAGAAATACAGTAAATAATAAAAACTTTGTTTGGATTGTTTTAACTCTTACCTTAAGATATGCATGTGACTGTTTTGCACATAACTTTTGTCCTTTTAATCTTACAAAAATGCATATCACTGTAAAACATACCTGCTTGTGATTATGTGTTACCACATGCAGAAACACTAGCATCCCCACACACAATGATGCAGGAATAATCCCAACAAAGGGAACGTGCCAGGGGTGGGAGCTCAAATATGCATTTGTTAAAATAATTTGCACTGGGACATAATCTTCACGGACTGGCACGAACAAGCTATATGGAAAAGGCCTTTGTGGGCTTTGCGCCAGCCCAGCAAGGTTGGCGTTTCTGGCTGTGCCTGTCTGTCAGGCTGACCCATATTGCACCTGCCACTCATGGGTTTATAATTACTGCCGCAGGCTGTTAGTGTGTGGTCGATCACTTGGGCAAAGTCAACAGCCACTCAGTAATTCGGATGTTTTAGCAATCTCATTTTCATTCAAATGTATTCAGGATCTGAGGTTTTATGTGCCCTTTATTAAAGGTAAAAGGCACATAAAAGGTATTTTTCAACCTGGACTCCATTTTCCCATGTTTAGTGTCTAAAGCTAACTGGGACATCTTTTTTAATTGGTCCAGTATTGAGCGAGCGCGCTGCAGTCACCCTTTAAAACATGAAGACGCAAACAAACCGACCGAGGCAGCAGTAGTCCAGCAACTCTCGTGTCGTGTAAGGTAAAATTAGTTGATTCAGACAGTGGAGTCTGGTGGCTTTGAGATAGGGATATAGTTAAAAATGAGTTTACTCTTTCTATCATAACAAGCACTTCAGTGGATGCACTTTGATGGGACACAACTGCCCGCAAGGATCACTGTCTCACTGCTGCCCACTCGCTCAATACTGGACCAATTTCAAATAATGTTGTCCAAATTAGTCACACAGACACAAAAACATGGGGAAATAGCGTCCAGGTTGGAAAAATACCGTAGTTACCCTTTAAAGATGTGTGGGGCTCCGGTCAGCTTTGCCCTTCAGACAAGCACTTTAAATCAGTTAAAGGTGAAGCACACAGTTCGCCTGTCATCAGCTCCTATTGGCCGTCTCACGTTAGAAACAGTTGAAAACACACTCCATGTATATTTCTGCTTTCAAATCAATGTAAATGTTGGCAAACCCAACAGGTACTAGCAGGTACTATACCTGTCCATCCGCATACAGCGTGGCAAGCATCGTGGTCGGCGACAAGAAGTCTCTGTTACGCAGGTTTTTAGCGCTGCTCTCCTTGAACCAAAGCTTCTCTGGTTCAGGAAAGATCCTGTCGCCGCTCCCCCGGCTGAAATCAGGGACATTTTCATGCTTCCCCCGTAGTGCGGAGCTCAGCGCCCCGACAGTAGGGGTGATCCGGAGGGGCGAAGCCTGCTCAATATTCTCCATCACCGTCACAACACTAACAGGTGAGCTTGCTACCAGGCTATTAGCACATCCACAACCTACTCATATCTGATGTTAAAACTGATAGGTGCAGGCTGTGCTTAGCTTCAACTCTGCCGAACTGTGCCAATTTCCATGCGTACGGTAATCACTAGTCGATGTCAGATATTGAATGTAAGGGAGGGCTGTAGGCTACTGGCAGTTTTTTTTCTTTGCGGAACTAGTGTCAAGTCGAGTGCAATCCCTGTTTCTTCCGAGGTGAATTTCCGTGTTGGACCAGTGGACTGCTGTTAATAGCGCCATCCAGTGCATGGGGTACTGCAATCTTAAACAATACTGAAAGGCTAGATTAAACAATCTATCATCTCACGTTACACGTAAAAATGGATTTAACATAAAAGTAGGTGTTTTGAATATGTTGCTCTTCAGTTGAATTCCTCATGTGGAGCTAAACATCAACAGGCCAACTAAATATTGTGTAAACGTTTTGGACTCTATTGTGTGCATGTAGCTGAAGTTCAGCTAAGGCAAAAGGCCAGCTCATGGCCGTGTGTGTGTGTGTGTGTGTGTGTGTGTGTGTGTGGTAAATAGCAACAGTAATATATATGTATTTGATCAATAAATTAATGTACTCAGGCAATTCAGTATTCTGTTGCTTGGCTGTGTGAAGCCTGCTCATTTGGCATCTTGCTTGTGAAAGAAAAAGTAAAAGTATAAAACTTTTATTTTAATTATGCCTGCAGCCCAGTGCCACAGTTTAGTGTGAAGATTGTTGTTGATTTTGAAGTGTTATGTGTTCCAATAACATCAACAGAATGAATACGATTTATTGCCTTGTGAAAAATAAACATATTATTAATGAAACTGTCATTTATTCTGAATATATACTTGAAACGAGTAGCATAGAAAATATACACATTGTGGTGTTGTGCCGAAAAGTGATTGCCGTCTGCTGGAGCTGTATTGCCCAGTCTCTGCAATCACTTTCTGGCAAGTGAAATAGCCTACTGCATTTTTTGGGTTGTATTGGCCATTTAAAGGTATTTTAAGAGGTAAAAAAGTACTAGGTGAGCTATAATCTGTCAAATATAACTCTTCTGAATGAAATCAACTAATTTCAGGGCAGAAATAACCTTTCAGCCAATAACAAAAGGCTTCAATCATTTTCTGGCATGTGAAATACTGCATTTTAAGAGTTGCATTAGCCATTTAAAGGTATTATAACAGGTAAAAAAAGAGTGGATTGGTTGGTAGACCTACACAGCAAGTAAAATAATACAGAGTCAATAATTGCAAAATTGTCTTCATTTTATATCTAAGTCGGCAGTAAGTCATGTTAATTAGGCTACAGCCCGTTTTCCAAATATAAACAAAGATATTACACATAGGCCTACGAAACATCAGTTTTCGGCAGACGATCTCTTTTCGGCACGACAGTTGCATACTTTTTGTTGTTGTTGCCTGCTCCTGTGATATACCAAGTGAATACTAAGGCCATGGTCTTTGTGTGTACTGATTATTTTGTAGAAAAGTAAAAATGTTGAATATTAAAAATTGTGTGAGTGTGAGGGAATTAAAATAAATTGGAAGGAAGTCAGAGTTTAAAAAAAAAATTTTCACTTGAGCCCCTGCCCACCAAAATGTCTGTGCACGTCCCTGCTGGCATTTGTTGTTTTGATAAGTATTGTTTTGATCTCCCCTGGTATGCTGCGCCTAAATGAGGCTTTATTTTGTTTCTACAGCTGCCTAACTAGTTCCCCCCTTATACTGTATGGTACCCCCTTTTCTTTCTTTCCTGTGTATTTATTTGTCTATTTATTTAATGTCTGCGTTTTTAAAACCATCTTTCATTTGCACAGACAGTGATTTTATTGTACCAGTTGATTTATGTTTTGTATGTTGTGAATTACAAAAAAATCTTTGAGCACGTCTTCTTCCGGCGCAGAAATGTGACGTAAAGGGCGCAAATATACAAGGGAGGTGTTTGTAATAAGTTGAGGCGCTTCAGTGGCAGAATTTTCCACAATAGGGAAGATGCACAACTGGCAAGAGAACGAAATAAAAGAACTTTTGACCATCCGGGGGTCGGAAGCCATCCGTAACCAGATTACGGGCACAGTGAAGGACTCTGTAGTGTACAACAGGATGACCAAACTGCTGGCGGAGAGGGGGGTGTACAGGTCACACATGCAGGTGATCAGTAAACTGAAGGCACTAAGGAAGCAGTACACCAAGTATCACCAGCAGAAGACCCGCTGCGGGAGCGACCGCGTCGACTGGCCGTTTTATGAGCAATGCCACCGGGTTTTCGGGAATGCCTCCGCGGGGAACCCGGTTAAACGGCAGAGGAGTCCCACACCCCCACCTGCACCCTCACCCCCACCGCCATCTCCCCCGCCGCCCGAGGAGGTTGTCGTCGGCCTCTGGGACGACGTTGACGACAAGGAGATCAACAAGCATCTGGGTCCAGTGGAGGCAGAGGACGACGATGAGTACAGCCCGTCAGAACAGTTACAGTCCATTAACGCCAGTAAGTAGATGTGTTAAGAAAAGATATGCGGAGGACCTGCAGGCCTGTGTGTCCTGAGGTCCCACACACCGCCAAGGGCTGATGTTGGAGTTTGACAGCATTTTACCAAATCTGAACCCAGTATCTGTTTATTAACCCCATTTTAAGTAATAAAACTGACATGTAACTAGAAGTGCACGTCAAAAAAATTGACATTCAAAGAAATAATATTGCCTATGTTTGCATATAAAACAGAGAGAAGATTGATGATTATAAAAGAGAGTAAGATTATTGAACCAAGTTGTTTTACCAACTTATAACCGGATCACAAGTCATACTAACTGTCGCAACCAAACCACTGTTATAGAGCACTTTTCAAAACAATGTTACAAAGTGCTTTCACAAAAGCAAAGAAAATGAAACTGTAAACAAGTGTGATGGGACAGTTGAGTCTATTGGCCTGTGAAGATGCAAGCATCTGTATGGAGTCCTGCAAAACTTCTGTCTGGGAAACTGCATTGTGTGTGCTATGACTAAAATAGGGCAAAAATGGACACAGCAGTATGCACCAAAGTATATAAAACTGCCCTAGGGCGGTTATTAACTCTTCTCACATGGAGTCAAACAAATAGACTGGCGTGTTTAAGGTGAAACTGTGCACTGCTGCCACAAATGGCCACTTAATTAGGAAGCATTTGTCACTGTGCCTCCTCAGAGTCACGTGAAAAGTTACTTCTTTTACTCTTCAAATTTAAGCCATATGCTTGTTTTGTATACAATTTATTTATTTATTTTATTCATTGTATACATTCTCATGAGATACTGTCAGGATGATGAAAGAATAAAAATGTTTTTAAAGAGAAGAAGCGACTTTAATGAGGCATAGCTCCGAATGCTTCCATATTTGGTACATAGTTAATATGTCAGCAAGGGACCATTTGGTCCTGTAGGTTTAATCTTAACCCCCAATTTAGTGAAATTATTTGCCTAATGCTATTTGTCCTCTTAAGGTGAAGACTGAAGTGTCTGTTTTTACCCAGTTTTAATCATAGTGCACTCAGTGGTCATGCGTTGGCGGACAGCAGCATGTCTGTCACAGTCCAACCTCGCTGTTATGACCATCAAACTGATTGAGAGTGGAGGAGACCCGCAGACAGTCAGGTGGGTAAGCATAAAAATGCTGTCTGCTATTTACTGATGTCACATCATAACTAGCAGATGTGTATTTACAATTTTACAACCTGTGACTTCTTTTTTGCCATTTGAAATTTCAAGCATGTAGGTTTAAATACATATTACATTATTGTGCAAATTATGTCCATGTTCTGTTCTAATGAAGACAAATGCTTTGTTATTGTTGGTGGTGGTTCTACTCAAGTGCAAATGACAACGATGTGTAATCGATGTAAACACCCTCACAGCTGAAAGTCGGCACACGGTAATTGTTTTATTCCAAGTCCAGTGTGTTGAAGCACGGAGACAGAACAATATCAAATATCACTGTCCTGTTACTGACAGGCTGCACTGTCTATCTCCTTTTTTTTTTTTTTTTAGCATATACAGTTCCATCGAAGAAAAAGAAAACAACAGTGATGGAGCAAGTCTCTACTTTAGTGTCAGCAACAGTCGCACAGCTCAGAGAGATGGACGCTTCCATGCAGGCGCAGGAGGATGCCCGGCTACAAAGGTTGATGGACCATGAGAAGGAAATGCAGAACAATCTTATGAGTCAGCTGGTAGCCATGCATGAAAGGATCAGCCAGCAAAACCATGAGAAACATCTTGAACTTGTGGACAGGATACTCTCGAGGTTCCCTTCACCTTCAGCACCTTCAGGTCCCTGACTGACACTTCCTGTGTGAGTGGTGAAGGCATATAACAGGGTTCAGATGTAGGGAACACTTCGGTCTCTCTCCTCCAGCAGCTGTCTAATGCCTAAGTCCACGTTCTTTTTGTTTTCACTGTAACAATGTAAAGAAAGATAAGTCACTGAGATCATCTTGCCTTTAACCTCAACTCTGCTCACTTGTCGCTAATACAAATCCAGGGTAAAAAAAAAAAAAAAAACAGGCCAAATTCACACCAGAGGCCTGATTCTGTGCTCATATGGCTTTGTTTTTATCTTTTTAGTTAACTCTTGAACAATGTCATTGTAAAGAACAATGACTCTGCATTATAATAGTGGACTGTAGCACCATTATTCCATTTCAAAAATAATTTGTCAAATGCAGATTAAAATGTGGTTTTGTCATGCAAACAAAGTTGGTGGTACACACACAACACAAAATTCAATACCCCACTGAACAGCTAAAACAGTCATAATCATGTAAATGTAATCTTAACGGACTGTACTGTATGTATACTTCTAGTCTTCCCTCCTACTCAGAGCGCTTTACAATACATGTCATATTCACCCATTCAGACACTGATGCCAGTGGCTAGTTATACACACACCAGGAGAAATTTGGGGTTCAGTATCTTGCTCAAGCAGACTTCAAAACACATTCTGATTAGTAGACGACCCGCTGTATCTCCTGACCCACAGCTGCCCCTCGTAGAGCATATGAAAACATAGAGACTTATTGTTATAATCATTACTTTTACTTTTTTTGACTCCAGTGACTCAAAACTTGCTTAGAAATCTTTGAATGTGTGTATCAGAACATCAGATCTGTGTCAATGTATGGATGAAAATCTGAAATTGGAGACTGAACACCTGCAGTGTGAACATTTTTTTCAGTTAACATGAAAGAAGACAATGATTCCCCCCAAAAAAAAAAAACATGCTGTGGTTTCTGTTGTATTTATGGATGCGCTGTTACCTCTTCTACCACCTCACCTTAGCATGTTGGTGTGAACAGTGAACTAAACTCAGCAAAAGCAGGCAGCTGCTACAACCTTTAGTTGTTACTAAGCATTGGATTTAATTTGGGGTCATTATAAAGTGTGACTTCAGTAAGTAATAAGTTACTGGACAACATGGGTGATAATATTGTTGAAATTTGGCATTTAGAAAAAGCATTGCTGTGTCAAACATCGATGTGAACGTCATGTTTCACCCAGCAGTGCTCCCCAGAGGGAAAGGAAGCCAGAGCATGCTGTATGCACCACTATAACACCGTAGCAGAACAAAAGCTGCTCTTCAGTGGTTCATGAATGGTAGTCTGTTTTTAGCACAGCTCATAAATGATGTATGCTGATGGATATCATAGTAAGAAAAATATACACAGTAAATGATAAATAAATTCTGAGATTTATTAGAAAAATCCATTTAGAAGACAATACAGAAAAATCTAAATACGTAGTGTTACACTTTACAAACTGAGTGCTTGGGTCGCTGTTTTAGGTGTCATTCTTGGCTGACACAAAATTCCCGGTTGCATTCATGGTCATCAGCAATCCGGGAGATAACGTGTCATTGAGGAAAAACACCTTCTGTATAAGACTGCGGCATCAGACAAATTACACTCAAATGTATGCTGCTACAGTGGCAACACAACATTAAAGGTAGGGCTGTTAGTTTCACTTTCCTTATTGATTGAAAAGAAACAAAAGTAATGGATCATCTGAATTTGACTGAGCGTTGAGCACTGGCTTTTATGAATCACAATGGGTGGACTAAAAGCTAAATAGGCTTTGATTTTAAACGTGTGGCTCAGTTAACTTGGATGTGTATTTTTACTGTAGATACTGTTAACCATGTTTTACTGTTTTAAATGTATTGTTTGTTCTTTTCAACAGTTTTTAACTGAATTAATATGTATATTATATATTTAAACAGAGGAAGACATCAGAAATGCAGGGTAATCTGAAGTTGATAAAGTGATCAATTATTTGTGTTGGGGAAGATGACGCCCTGCTCCTGTATCTTCTTGGTGATGTAGCAGCCCGTCTGATCCAGATGTGCTGTGCATTGTGGGATGGAAACGGACCCCATAACCAGCTGGAGCTCAGAATCACAGCTGCATTATGGGTTCCGTTACAATCCCACCCACTAAATCAAGCTTTGGCTCAGGTCTGGTCAGGTTAACACAGCTAAAAGAAAGAAAAATTATTATTAACAGGGGGAAAAAAAGGTGAGTGGGACTAATCCACCAAAATGTTACAATTTGAACTGCAAGTCATGAAAGACATTGAAACCATTTTTGCAATCACTTCTGATAGTCACAGCTATTCAAAGTAAGGAAAACTACACAAGACAAGCAGACTAATGCCTCTCTCGACCTTTCAGTACAGCTTAACGATCCGTTACATGATTGCAACGACTTGCAAAGGAGCGGTTTTTCCAATGTCGGACTGTATGAGCAGCAGAAAGTTCGTAATAATACATCAGCTTCATCTGGCTTGCTTTGTTCTGTCCTCTGGTTTTTCAGTGCTGATACAACCTAATTTAAAATGATCACGAATGGTTCACATAGTCTAATGAAACCTTTTGTAAGTTGTGGTTTTAATTACATTTATACTGAATGGAAAATATTTCTCCTTGCGTTATGTATGTATCTGATGCTCAGCAAATAAGTGGAGAAAACATTTCACTAACAAATGACTGGAACATTTTTGGACACACCGAGAAAGAATTATTTCGTTTAGATTTTAATTATTGCCGTCAACGGTTTTATCTAACACTAAGCTCTTTAAGAATAGCTCACAGTTCCTTAATTACGACAGGGGGAAGAAATGCTTGATTTGAATGTTGTAAAATGACCAAGACAGTTACTGTATATAAAGCCAAAGCCCCTGTATCTACAAAACTGGCACTTGGGAGGTCATCAAATTATTGCTCCATTTGCTTTCAATTTAAGTGCATAAGAAACAAAGGCATTTAAAGTATAA